AAATGTAAAAACCATTCTTAGCTCATGGGCCATAGAAAAACAGGCAGGATTTGGCCAAGAGATGTGGCTCGCCAATCCTTGGTCTTGGGCCTCCAGGACCTATGTGGCATTTGAATCCAGCATCTGTGTCTTTGAGAGGTACTTTTTTTCCTCCTACCTGAGAGAGGCGAGGCTTTCTAGGGTCTCCTTGCCCACCAGGTGCCCAGGCCTCAGCTGGGGGAAGCCCCTGGCTCTAATGTTTGGAAGAACAGAAGGCTGAGTCCCTCCTGGGGCCTCGGAGCGCAGCTCACCTTGTCAGCAGGACTGGCAAAAGTTGGCACCACAAACCAGCAGTCCTGGAGGGGGCTTTAGAAATCCCTTGGTCTGTGCTCTCGTTTTTCAGGGAAAGAAGGCAAAACTCAGAAAGGAGAGTGACTTGCCCCAGTCCACTCAGGGTGACAGGGCAGAGCTGAGACCACCCTGTGGGCTTGTGACTCTGAGCTCAATGCCCTTTCTGCTCCCCCAGAAGCAGACTTAAGTATTGGGGGAGGGGACTTCAAGGGCCTGCCCAGAGATGGCACTCCCTCCACTGGGCACCACAGCGAGGGAAGTCCACAGCCCACACATGGAGGAAGGAGCCATGACAGGTTTGGCATCAGGACAGAACGTGGCATCCGGCCCGGCCACGGCAGGGGATGGTGCCAGCCGGGCTCCATGCCAGGGTCAGGGAGGGGCTCTGTGACCCCTTTCCTGGCCTCTTCCCATGCTCCTGGCAGAGTTGGTCTGGGGACCCAGCGCTGCTTCTGTCAAGAGTGATACCCGCCAGCACGACACCTCCCACCTAGCAGGACACGGAAAGGCCAGCCACGTCCACTCCTGGGCCTGGTCACCCCGCAAGGGTCTCCTTTGCTGGGTGGCTGGGGACACAGAAGAGAAGAAGGTTTGGTTCCTGTGGGGACTCCCCAGGCAGAAACGGGCTGCTTCTTTAGGGAGACAAGGCGTGAGAGCAGAAATCATTCTAGAGTTTTGTCAGAATTCCCCTCGAGGACCATACGATGGAGAGGGCGCTCGGAGTGAGAGAAGGCAGAAACATTTTAAGAATAGAGTTCCCTTCGCAATTGGGGGCCAGAGCCCTGACGTCTGCAGGCATCCTGACTTTAGGAAAAAATGTCCGGTGGAGGCCAAAGGCGCTGAGAACTGCCAAAGGTAGCCCAGTAGCTCCGTCTGCCACTGCCTTCGATAATGATACCAGGTGGGGCAAAAAGCTGTCACGGGCATTATCTCGCTGGAGTCCCCACAACCACGTGAGGTGTTATCCTCTCATTTCATAAATGAGGAAACTGAAACTCGGTGAGCAAATGACTTAACCTAAGGCAACCGGTTATTGAGCAGCAGAGGCAGGATTCGAACGAACCCCAAAGTCCGTAAAGGGCCTCCACCCACGGCAGATGAGAGACGTTACGTACACTCGACGTATAAATCACGTATGCCCGCGTCAGCCACCGTTACTGGGTGGTCTTGTCTGCCCCAACCCTCCGTTTCTAGGGGCGCAGAGGGTGGGACCATCACCAAGAGTTCCAGGAGAGCAGCTCTCACCATGGGCCCTTCAGAAGTCCTGGCCAATGTCTCTCAGAGCAGAGTGTCCTGTCTCACCTGGGTCACTCATGCTGTCTGGAAGCTTCGAGACTCCTTTTAGTTCAAAATCAAACCTCACACTTGCCTCCCTCCCCTCCTCCTCTGCAGACGGCGCTGTGGAGATTTCAGGAGCAGCAGATGGGCTCTCCTTCCGACAGGAGGTCTGGCTGAGATGCGCCCACGGCCGTCCCTCTTCCAGACCTGCTGCGGCACCCCTGGCCAGCTCCTGCCAGGCCCAGCCACCGGCCCTAGGATCCTGGGTCCCAGATCTTCTGTCTAAGCCGCTGTGAGCCCAGCCTTGGAGCTGGGTTCTGTGTGTGCGTGCAGCTGCGGGGGCCAGGATAAGATTAACCCTGGTGTGTTCCCACCCCCTGGAGACAGAAAAGTGCCCACTCAGCAGCGAATGCCGGGAGGGCAAAGGCGAAGCGTCCAGGGTCGGGAAGAGAGGGGTTATGGAGGGACACAGGGCCAAGGAAGAGGAATGCGACTTATTCCCAAAGGCAGAAAACTAATCAGGTAGGCCTGGATACGGGCCAGCCACTCCCTCGTGGAGGACAGAGCAGAACCGGGGCTGCAATTAAGTAGCAGGGGAGGGTCCTCTTACCCCAGGGAAGGAAGGCTCTGGGCAGGAGGCTGCTGCTTCTCCAGCTCCCAGTGTCCACCTCACTCCTACCCTGGAAACTAGAGGGTAAAGCCCCACAGCACAGATTCCTGGCCCCTCCTGGAAGGTTTCTATCCAACAAACCCTCTCCCCTTCACTCCCCGGCCACCAGCACCATTCCCCTGCATGGTCCCCTGATCCCCAACTTGGAAGAGAAGATTCTAAGGCCCTGGCCTGATGGGGTTAGGAGACCCCGCCTTGGTCTCTACCCCAAAGCCAGCCACGGTGCAATCACTAAGAAATTCCCTCTCCAAACCACCACCACCAACCACTACAGCCACCAGTTATTCAGTCTCTGCTACGTGCCAGGCGCTGTGCATTATTTCATTTAATTCATGTAACAACCTCCCCCATTACGGTCCCCATTTCACAGATGAGGAAACCGAGGCCAGGAGAAGTTCAGGACTTTGCTGGGGTGAGGGGACTCACAAGGCTAGTATATGCTGGAGCTGGATTCCAACAAGGCCCTAGGTTTGCCCTCCCCTATAGGTTCCGAGCTCAGTTAGGCAAGGAAAGAAGAAATCAGAGAGGTAGAGGGAGATGCTGGACAAAAGTCCCAGAGTGACCCCAGAAAGGAGAAGCCTGGTTGGGGTAGGATCTGGCCTACAGTGTGGGCCTGTTCCCCTGGGCACTGGAAGGCCCAAGTAGGCAGAGGACAGAGTCTGGGTCTGTAGGGGAAACAAATGCAGCCTGAAAGGCAGCTACCTCGTCTCTAGACTCAAGGAGTGGGTGGTGCAGGCCGGGCAGCCTGACCCCACGAGATCTCAGAACAAGAACCTCAGAGCTGTGCCCTCTCTCTTGCCACCCATGCAGAAGCCTGGCTCTGCCTGGCACAGGACGAATGGGTGCCTCAGTAGGCAGAATACCACCCTATTCTTCCTTCTCCGGAGGATGGATGCAGGACCAGAGAGCTCCAGGGGAGGCTGGGACCCCACCCTATAGGGGCAGATAGAAGTGGGCTGGATCCCACCTCTGTGTGACCTTGGGAAAGCTGGTCTCTGAGCATCTCAGTTTCCTCACCTGTAAAATGGGGATGGCAATACCTACTTCATAAAGTTGGTGCGACACACCGCGTGGCACACAGTAGATATTAAATAAATGGCGGCCACTAAGGCATTCAGAGATTGGATATAACTCACTGAAGTCTACTCTGGCTCTGGGACCCCCAATGAGTTTGAGAAGAACTACTTCTGGCATGAGTGGAGACCTTCTTCCATTTTCCTGGCAGGGCCTGGGCAGCCAGCAGGGACAGTCCTAGGAACCTAATGGCCAGGTATACTCCCAGGTTGCCAGGGTGGGGGAGGTCAGCCTCACAGGCTCATCAGCTGCACAGGAGGTGGCTGGGACAGGATAACCCGAGACCGTAGCTTGGCCGTGGCAAGGTGACCCTCTCCCTAGAGCACCTTCAAGATGCAAACCCAAACCTGGAGCCAGCGTCGCCCTGCACTCCCTGGACCCGAAGCACCTAAGCACGGTTTTCCCAGGCTCCTCCGGAGGCAAAGGTAGGGGGCCTCAGAGGATGTGCCAGTCGGCTAGCCATTCCAGGCGTCCCAGAGGATTCTGCTCCCTCAGGCCAGTGTCCAGAAATGAGCTGCATGCCCGTGCCGGGGTGGGGAATGCCACACGGACAGGCTGAATCTCACAGGGTGCTGACACAGAGGGGCAAGCTGGTGGTGTCAGTGAGTCACAGGGCCCAGGCCACAGCTGGGGAACTGCAAGGGCTGGGGGTGGGACAGCAGGAGCCAGAGCTGAGGATGTTCTGGGGAGCTGCCTTTCTACTCCCACAGCCTCAACTCTCCAGCCTTTCCGCCAGGAAGGGGCCCAGAGAACGCAAAGGGGACAATGGTGCCTAGGAGGGTGTTGATCCTGCAGGATGGAAAATCCCTGCTGTCTGGCTGCTCAACTCCCACTCGGCACAAGGTCTGCAGACAGCTCCAGGGAACCCGCCTCCCGGCCAGCCCCCAACAGGGAAAAAACAGGCCTCCAGCCCATACCGGTTTTCGGTTTTGGGATTTCAGATTCCTAACTGTCTCCCCCAGTAACGTCGGAATCCTCAAGCCACATCTCCTTAGCCCAACGGGCCACCCACCCTCCCTTCCCACCGCCGTGTTAACCCTTTGGCCCTGCTGGTGAGGGGTGGGGCCACTGCCTATCGGGTCTTCCGGGGTGGCAGAGAGAAGGGACAGCATTCCCCAGAGCCCCCAACACATCCCCCCGCGCTGAGACCCGCAGGGCAGGGCTTCACGTGTCCCTCCACGTTCTCCCCAGGGCTCTGGCCTCCACCCCCGAGCCTGCAGCTCTGGAAACTTCACCGGAGCCCAGAAAGCTCAAGGCGGCGATCCGGCCCCACACTGTCGTGTCCTCTCGTCACCGGAGACTCCTGACCCTTGCCCTTCCCAGCAAGAAGGGCGCTTAGAGAGCGCCTGGCTCGCGTCTGGGTGGAATACTTTGCTTGGCAGGGTTCAGACGGGAGCCCAGGGGCCACAGTGGGTCCCAGATAGAGACTCCCTGGAGGGGTGTGGGGGCTCTGGGAATGCAAAATAGCCACCCCCCCCCAAGCACCTGGAACTTAAGAGAGGCCTTTCCAGGGCATCCTCCACCCCCCAACACACGTACAGTACACGCCTCGAGATCTCCGATCTCCCCTCGTCGCTCTGGTATTTCCCTCCAACCTCTCGCCCCAGGGCAAAAGCAGAACTGCGCCTTTAAGAGCCGCTCCGCTTACCTTTGCTCCGTTTGCACAGCGCCGCGGTGCCCCCTCCTCCGACCTCCCCCTGCCTGCCCGGCGCCGCCCGGGGACTCGCCGCGCGCGTCCTGGGGGCCGCGGGGCGCCCGCTCCCGCCCGCGACGGCCGGGGTGCCGCGGGGCTGGGCGCCGTGCAGCTGGCGTCCCCGCCCGGCTCTGGAAAGGTGAGCGGCTCCCCAGAGGAGCTGCAACCTGAGCTGGCCGAGGAGGAGGAGGAGGAGGAGGAGGAGGTGGAAGAGGTGGAGGAGGGAGAAGGAGGAGGAGGAGGAGGAGGAGGGAGGAAGAGGAGGAGGAGGTGGTAGAAGGGGAGGGGAAGGGAGGGAGTGGAGGAAGGTGGGGAAGAGGGAGGAGGAGGAGGAGGAAGGGAAAAGCCCGGCCCCCGCCAGAGTTTTTCACATGGACGAGTTGACTCCGCCCCCGCCCCTCCCGCCCTGCCCACAGCCGCTGCCAATCCCCAGGGCTCCCTCTGCCCGGGTGCCCACCCCTTTCTCCCACTCTGGGAACCGGGGTCCAAGTGCCTCTTCCTGTTTTGTTTCTAGGGCTGGCCCTGGGAGCCTTGACTAGGGACTGAGGCCCTCTGGACCGGATCACCCCAGGACAGGGGCCAGGGCACCGCGCGGGATTCAGTGCGGGCGCCCGCTGTCTCTGAAGGCTGCTCTCCTACCTTCTGAGTCTGGTCCTTGCACCCAGCACCCTGGGAGCTAATGTGCATGGAACGGGCTCTGTGGGTCATTTTCTCGACAACAGTAGGCCTTGAGCTCTCGTCTCCCCTACCCAGTGGGACTTCACTGACCCTTCCAGACACATTCCCACCTGGTCAGGGCCAGGACCCAATGAAGACTTTGCTACCAGCCATCATTCTCACTCCTCTCCCTGAAGGGTAACTCAGTTTGTCCTTTTGGAATTAAACCCCACAGGACAACTGAGAATCGTCCGAGAAGCTTTACAGAATAGCTAGGGCTAGCTCAGCTCCCATTTTACAGAAGGGGAGAGACTGAGGTCCAGAAAGGAAATTGAACTGGCCCAAAGTCCCACAAGGAGTGCGAGGTGAGCTATCATTAGAACCCAGGCCATGGCCGTTCTACCCACACCATCTGACTTCAGGGATTGAAAAAAACAAAACACAAAACAAAACAAACAAACAAAAACAAGAAAGAAAAAAAAGAAAAGAATCTGGGGAGGGGTGAATAAAGGGCATGGTGCCCCCGCCTGGGCCCCTCTCAGCTCTGCTTCCCCCTGAGGGCTCCGGTCTATGGGCACCAAATCAAGGAGGTCTGTGTCCTCTGCCCTGCCAGTGGGCTTGGCTGCTGCAGTCCGGGGGCCCAGACAGGGCAGGTTTCTTCAGGAGTGGGTGGTCCACACTGTGCATGTACTTCTGCCTGAACCCTTTCCCTGGGAAGAATGAGTTGTTGCGAATAGATCGATTTCCTTCTGGAAGACATTGGCCTGAGGTCGCACCTTTGGCTAGAGAAAGAATGAAGACAGGAGGCCCATGGTCAGCAGGCGCATCCCACAAAGGGCCTGCCGACTCTGCTGTGTCTGTTTTCTCTGCCAGGGCATGCAGATTTCCTGGGTGCAAGCACTTTATAAAAATGAAACTGCAGAGCCTCTAGGCGCTGGGGAGAGGAGGCAACCTGCTTGGCTCCGTGATCCCCATATGTGTGGTAAGAATACTGGGGAGCAGGGAGCCAGGCAGAGGCAGGGAAGGGGCAGGGAGGGCAGGGGAAAAGAGCTGCAGCTAAGGAACTATTTACTAGAGGATTAGAGAGACTGGGGCCAAAGGGCAAAGTTTCAAGGAACCAGGGGGATGAGGTCAAGAGGTCTCAACAAACACTTTTTTTTTTTTTTTTTGAGACAGAGTCTTACTCTGTTACCCTTGGTAGAGTGCCATGGTGTCAGCCTAGCTCACAGCAACCTCAAACTCTTGGGCTCAAGCAATCCTCCTGCCTCAGCCTCCTGAGTAGCTGGGACTGCAGGTGCACACCACCATGCCCAGCTAATTTTTTCTATTTTTAGTAGAGACGAGGGTCTCACTCTTGCTCAGGCTGGTCTCAAACTCCTGACCTCAAGCGATCCCCCCCACCTCGGCCTCCCAGAGTGTTAGGATTACAGGCGTGAGCCACCACACCCAGCCTCAACAAACACTTTCTGAATACCTCTTATGTGCCGAATAGTAGCCAGGGCTCTGGGCACAAAAGATGAATAAAACACAGTCCCTACAAGGGAGGGGAAGAAGGGTTTTGCCATTTTTCCAGGAGGGGTAATACCACGTGCAAAGTGCAGGGGTGAGAGAATATGGCCCCATGGTTCAATGAGGCCAGAGCTTAAAGTCTGGGGTGGGGACGACACTGTGGAGGGAGGCAGGTGCTGGATCCTAAAGACCCTTCTGCATACACCGTGACTAACCCGCCAGGACTCTATCCTGAAAACATGGGGCAACATGGAACATTTAAGAGGAAAGAGATGTCACCGGGCCTGTGATTTGGCATGACCCTTCTGGCAGCTGAGTGGGGGATTGATGGTGGGGGGCAAATCTGGAGACAGGAGCCCCAATTTGGAGGCTAATCCTAGTGGAAAATGATGCAGGCTTCGATTACAGCAGCGGCAGCAGGGAGGAGAGGAAGGAACTGATTTGATAGTTGGGAGACAGGCTCATGGGACTTTATACCTGTTTGATTCTAGAAGATAAGGGAGCCAGGAGTGTTGAGTTTGGAAACGCTGGTGTGATTGGCTGAGGGGGGCCTTGGAGCTTCTTAGGTGCATCTCCTTGTATTGCCGTGTGACACTGGGCAAGTGACTTAACCTTTCTGAGCCTAGCTTTGCAATCTGTAGAACAAAGATGCTGAAATCAATCTTGTATGGTCGTTGTGCATATTAGAAATAACATATGCTTAGGGCCTAGCATAGGGCTTGGCTCATAACAGGTACTCATTAGATAGTAGATATAATTACCATCATCTGTCCATTCAACAAACATTTGCTGAGCACCTGCTTTGTGCCAAGGGCTGCACTCGGTTGTTGGGGTGTATGGATGATTTTAAGTCTCCACCCCTATTCTCATGCAGCTCACTGTCCAGTAGGAGAGAGATGTGGAGAGGAATAGTCACATACCAAGGCAGTATGGGCTGGGGCAGAGGAGGAAGCCCTTAACTCTGCCCAAGAGAATCCGGGACAACTTCACAGGGGAGAGGTGACAGCTTAAACAACATTGGGCCAGCCTCCTGCTCAGAGACTGTCATATCATCCCCACCCCCACACACGGGATTACATTTCAGAATCTCTGAAACATTTAGTTTTGAAGCATTGTCTTGCTTCTCTGGGTTCGGAAGAGAGGATGGGCTGCAGAGAGGTATCTATATGGAACCCAGAGAATGGCACGTGGAGCCTTGGCAGCCCCAGGAAGGCCGCGCACAGGTGGGCAGGTAGAGGGGGGAGCCGGGTAAGAGAGACCGTGCACGCATGTGCGCAGGGCTTGCTGGCTAGACAGGGAGACATGACGTGCAGCCTGTGTGTGTCTGTGCTGTTTGGGCCATCCTAATTTTTCTGCTCCCTGTCTGTGCCCTTCCAAAAATTCCCTCTGAACCCTTTAGTGTCCCCTGTCCTCCTCCCATGCCAACTTGCTTCCCATGCATCTCTCGACAAGCCACACAGACTGCGTGACCTTGGGCAGCTACGCACACCTCTGACTTGCTTCCTGTCTGGAACGTGGAGATGGTAACAGGCCCTCTCTCGTGGGGTTATTGCGAGGTTTCAATGAGAGGTAAACCGGGCGCCCAATCAATGCTGTTTCCCTTCTCTGCAGCCCATTAACTCCCTCCTTGCAGAGGGTCAGACAAGAGACTCTCAGCTGGGGTGCCCCCCGGCACCCTGGCCCCTGTGGGCCCTGCAGCCCCCTTCCCGCTGCTAGCCTAAAGGGTCTGTGGCCCCCCCGGGAGCCCTGGTTGCCCTGGCGGTGCAGCAGTGTGACGCTGGCAGCCTGAGCGGCATGACAATGGGGCCCCCCCCGCCCCTCCCCAGGCAGCAGCTCAGCCGCTCCGCTCTGCTTCTGTCTCTCCTGCCTGCTGCCAGTGACATGCCACTGCTCTGCAGATAGGACAGGCGTCCCTGGGCGCCGGAGGGCTGAGCGGGGAAGCTGGAAACAGCACTGCCTCACAGACTGTGTGGGCAGCACATTGGAATAGCTTCTGAAAAACCAAAGTTCAAGCCTGCCCCACTTTCCCCTGGGAGGCCCGGCATGCAGACAGGGAGAGCTCAGCCAGCAGTCTCCTTCCCGCACGTCCCCACAGGCTGTCCTCCTCGCTGGTCCTGCCCACGCTCAAGCAGGCACAGTCTCCGAAAGCACTGCAGGGACGATCGGGAGGCCGGAGACCTGACTCTACCCCTAGGGCGCAGAAGTTATCGGGGGCCTCAATTTTCCTCTTCAGCAAAATGGGAATAGTGTGAATACCTGCCTCTCGGGATGGAGAATTAAACGAGACCGTGAGCTTGAAAGTGCTTTGCAAACTGTGCCGTGATCTGCACGTGTATGAGATCATTAGTGTTTGGCCGAAGGGCCCTTCTTAGGGTTCTAGGAGTCAAGTGAAGACATGAGAAATGGGAAGCTAACCAAGAACAGAGAAACTCACCCCAAAAGCATGTATGTCCTTGGCAGGCAGGAGGGGGATTGGCAGCAGAGACCTGAGGATGGACCGACCCACTGCGGCCTGACTGGTCAGAGGCCTGGGAGTCAGTGGGGACAGCAGGACTTGGCTGGACTAAGCCAATTCTTCCTCCTCCTCTGGCAAAACCTAAGCCATTGTTTGCCAGTAGTTTCTGGGGAGTGAGGTTGATTAGGGCAAAGTCATTGACCTGGTTGCATGTGATTCCCACAGAGAGCCTGGCACTTTCTGCTTTATCACTGCACCGAGCGTCACATCCCCTCTTCGTCGTTTGTGCACAGGTATGTGTGCACTCGTGCATGTGTGTGCACATGCACACACATGCGTGCACACACACACACCGCGCATGACCACTCTAGACTTCAGATGAGGCAACAGCTGCATCCCCAGAGGGTTCTAGGACAGGGTGGGCACATA